CACAAATTATTTATCAGTTAATGCAACTCTTTCCTATTTTCATGGATATATTAATCTTGATAATGAATATGTTCAGTTTCATAATCATGCTGTTAAAGTTAATGCTTTTGAATATTTATCATTGAGAAATTTACGCGAGATATATAAAAATACATATGATACTTCAATGAAACGTTTTCTTGGTCATCCACCAATTCCTGGCATTTATTATATGTGGCATAGTCAACGTCGTTGTGAAGAATTACGTCAACAATATGTAAATAGGAGTGCGGATGGAATTGTTTATAAATGGATCTTTCGAATGCGTCATGATGCTGTTTATTATACTAATTGGTGGCAACAACCTTTTCATATCTCCATTTATACGCATTCAAATCTCAAACATAAAAATCTAAATCATGATATTAAAAATCATTGGGGAATTTATCCAACGAGATTATATGATATGATCTATGAACCAAGATTAAAATCAAATGAGAATATTATTTATATTCCTTTTGGATGGTCAAATGGTGGTTATAATGATCAATTTGCAGCTATGTCATCGAATAGAAATGCTCAGCATTATTTTATGAGAATATTAAATATTAAACGAATGTTACACGAATCAATTGTTCATCCTGAAACATCAATACATTTAATTGCAAAATGGAATCAAATTAAAATAGATAATAGAAATGCCACGATTTGTTATGATATTGTTCGCATATCAACTAAGAATCATCGATCTTGTGCTTATAAAAAAAGTGGAATAGAAGATTGTCAATTATTATGTCCAAAATATGAAAACATCAATACAATATTACACAATCATTTTATTCATAATAATAAGAATAATTTATTTCCACAAGAAAATTCTACAAGAATATTAAATAATAATAAAGAAGAAATTGAAATATTATTAAATCAACATATTTCATCTATGAATAATAAGAATAATAATGAAAATTCGATAGAAATCAATGATCAGTCTTCATCGTTTTATTATTTTTATCGATATATTAATTCAAAATATCTAAATAATCCTTGTCTACCTCAAACATGGACTAAAAATCAAGGAAATAACTATGAAAAACATCATTTTCCATTTATTCTTCGATCATCAGATCAAACTAAAATCAGTCAATACAATCAATATTTGACATGTGGGTCAAATGTTAATCTTTAATGAGAAAAAAAACAAACTTTAAGTTTTTTTGTATTAATTATGTTATAGAAAATATTTAGAATTGTATTTTGTAATAATAAATATATATTAAATAGTATTATAATCCTGTATATGAGAATATTCTTTTTTTCATTTCTATAAACTGTAATAGGACAATCAGATCGATAAGTTTATTAAAAGATATTTTACAATAATGCGACTACTAAGATTTTAAAATTATTAAACTACAATGCATACTTTTTGAAGATTCTAATCATGGACCTTTGCTTTTCTGAGTTGTCACACAAGATGTTTAGACACATTTTCGTCCTTTTTCTATATGCATTGTTAATGATAAAGAACGACATGTTATATAAATAAAGATCAGTATTTTTTTTTCGAAGCCTTATAGACTTATATTTATTTAACAAAATAATCATGTAGATATTATAAAGAAATTTTTCAAATAATTAACATAACATCATTTTTGTGCACAAATAAATTAAATATTATCCTACTCAAATAATATGATACTAGATAATAAAAATCAAGTTGAATATATCGAAGATTTTTTATGAAGAGAGGAATTTGAAATTATTAATTATTACAAATGTATATAAATCTTTATACTTACTAATATTTTTTTAATAATACAAATACGAGTAAAAATCTTTATGGCATACTTAAAACAATTAAATTCTATTTATTCATTAATTAATTTATAAAAATAGATAAAAGAGACATAGATTTTGAAAAATGACCAATATTTAAATTTTTTTCAATTAATAATTACAAAATCATTATTATTATTATTTGTAACAACAATGTATTTTCTATTACAATTATTAAAATCATTCATAAACTAGTTGAAATTTTTATTTCTTTTTTAGAAGATTCATAACCATATCCATTCGATTATCATTATTTATATCATGACTAGTAATTCTCATTGGACCACAATCTATTATATGTGAAACTATAGATGAGAATGAAAATTGACGTGATAATAAATTAAATTCTGTTAAAGCAAAGAAATAATAGTCGAATATTATTCAAGAACATGAAAATAATTTGAGAATAAGTGTGAATATTCTTCGCATTTATCATCAACACTCACATAATATATGTATGAACAGTCTAACAAAAATGGAAACGACGAGAAAGATCAAGTTCATTTGTAAATAAATATAAATACATCTATATCTATCTTTCTAGAGTATCCCGTTAGTTTACGAAAAGAGGAAAAGATTAAATTTATTTATAAATATATAAATGCATCTGTATAAACAAATTTAATCTTTTCCTGAGCGCTTACAGGATCATAAACGTTATAGCAAAAAAATATATACGATATGGTAATGTTTTTTGCCATTACGGCTGTATAGAAAGATAAAAGATCGTGTTAGAATATACACATACATGTATATGTAACCAAGAGGAAAGAGAAAGAAACGATAATACTATATATCCTTGTTATTGATGGTTATTTTTTGTTCTTCTACATATATCCGTCTCAAGCTTTTAGTATATTCCGTCGTTCTCTTCAAGTGCATACTAGTGATATTAATGATCCATCATCTAATTTGACTGATGGTACACGAACAAACGGGATGAAAAGATGCTAATAAAACATGATGAAACTATCATTTTTAATACTCACCGTCTATGTTATGTATCATTAGCATGTTATCAAATCTTGCATATATATATATACGGTTATGAATAGGATAGAAAGTTTTGTTGAATTATATTAAAAGTTGTCATTTATTCCATGGCCACACTAATTTACTTTGAATTCAAATCTATAGTATTTCAGTTCAATCATCTCCTGTTGATGATCTAAATATAATTTTTCTGATTCAATGGAGTTTGACGCGTAATCCTTAACATTACATCTATATTAATATAATTCGATATATCATTTATGATTGCTGTTTTTAGTATAGTATTATACTTGTATAAACCGGATAAAGAATTATGAAATTTATCAATATATAATAACAGACAACAATTTGAATGTTACTTAAAAAAGAACAAGAAATATATCATCATTTTCAGCTAATTCTGATTTGAGAAATATTCCTAGTAATGAAACACTAGTTGTTATTCTATCATTTCCACTAAACATACGACAACTCTTGATCAAATAACCGAACTGATTACTGAATAACAAGAAGAAAAATAACAACAAATAGTATACTTATTCGTATATTGCAATCAAAATCTTTCTTTAAACATCTGTCATCATCTGATCGATATTTTCAAGAAGTATTACTGCTTAATCAAATGAGAAAATATCTTCAAGATCTATCCGTACTAATATTAAACCTAATATAAAAAAAAAGAAATAACACACGTCAATTCCATGGATATCTATGTCATAGTATCTGTTGCACATATATTACCATTTTATGATGTATACGATCAAGAAAAATTTCTTTTTTTTGTTTCCATCAGATTAGGAATGATTTCGCTCATATAACATGTGATGATAATCAACTAATGATTGCCATTAAAAATACGCGAACAATATCATCAAATATCACCATATGATATATTTGATCATCATAATATTATCATTATTAACTTTTATATGATGTAGTGAATCTCTTATTACAAGAATCCCTGTGGATAGTGATTATTTTTTTTATTTTTCCCACTTATTTATGCCATTTAGATGACTTTGTTTTTGTCTAATTTAGTTGTTCCTATCTTATCGTCTATTTTTATGACGAATCATTGTGTTAATTCGCAAAAAACCCTTATCTTTGTTTCTAGGGAATAAAGTCGTATGACCTGATATACATTCGATGACCTAGTCGCAAGTCCTTTCTATTTTTTTGTTATCCGACTTCTCGTTATCTTTTTTTTTCGATAATTATGGATATATATATATACATGCGCTAATGTACTTTATTTAATGAGTTGTTTTTATGAAGAAAAAAAAAAGAATGATATTATTCTTAAAATGAACTAGCCATAGAATTTATATTTGCACTATAGAAAGGAAGGGCATATAACCTTTGAAAAAATATCTTTGTTAGTATATGGCTGAATATTATACAAATAAAACTTTTGTACATTAATATCCTTTTTTGGAAGTTTTGTAGCTGGATAAGAGCTTGGAGACTATTTCGGTAATTTATTCTTGTTTACACGTTGTCATCAAAGCTCTATCCAATTATAGTTATATTTACCAACCAGTCCATCAATTGCGGAATGTCTTTTTCTTGTCTTATGCGCGCGTCTGCTGTCAGTAAAATAGCGAAAATCATTTTTCTCCTCCATTCTTATCGAAAGGTTGTAAATGGAAATATCATTAGTCTTCAAACTGACAGAGATAAGAGATGCATCGTCTCTCACTAATATCACGGTTAATGGAGCCGAACAAAGTAATATCACTCCATTTGTCGATGAAGTGGAAGAAATACAATTGTTTCTCTTCCTTTTCCTTCTATCTATCTTCCTGCCTGTCTTACCATCTGTTTACATAATGCTATAAACAGATTGCAAAATCATTATACGATGTTCGAGGATAATATCTGTCCAAGCGAGTTAACAGAAATAGCACGAAGAGAGAGAGCGAGAAGAAAAAAATACATCCCAATAATATAGATATTTTTTCTCAGAGTAACTTTTTCTTCTCTGTCTCTCTTTTTTTTCTCTCTCTCTCAAAATAGAGACTATATAAGCAGAAGTCAACAAGCAAAAAGAGTACTTAGTAGACACAATCTACGAAAGCATTCGATCATCGGTGTAAACGACACGAAGAAATTTCTAGTGCTTTTAACGTATATTTATATTATATCAACGTTCGATTTTTTGTTAAATATTATTTAACAAAACAACAATCATGTCGGCAGAATCGTATGAATAAAATATTGAATTATTTTTGAAAGAATTCTAATTTTTACTCTTATTTAAGGATGGCATTGGATCCTAATGATCCAGAGATAAAAGAATCGCTGAAATATTTGGTTTTACCAACGGAAGAAAAACTCAAATTACGTTCTCAACCATTTGATGCTAAGAAAGCATGTTGGATTCCCGATGCAAAAGAAGTATATATTGCTGGTGACATTGTTGAAACCAAGGGAGACACTACTATCGTAGAAACAGCTAAAGGAGAGGTAATCATCAAATATACAAAATGTTTTCATAAAGAATTCTCTTTTTTTGTTTCCCTGTAGAAAGTTACAGTAAAAACTGATCTCATTCAACAAATGAATCCTCCTAAATATTCATGTTATGATGATATGGCTGATTTAACATATTTGAATGATGCTTCAGTCTTTGCCAATTTACGTGAACGTTATTCACGATGGCTCATCTATGTATGTATCTATCTCTATAAAAAAAACTAATTGTTTTCCTATTATAATGTAATTGTAGACATATTCGGGTCTCTTTTGCGTCGTAATCAATCCATTCAAACGTCTTCCTATCTATACAATGAAGGTAGTTATGATGTATCGTGGCAAGAAACGTACTGAAGTAGCTCCTCATTTGTATGCCATTTCTGACAATGCATATTCAAATATGCTTCGTGGTAAGTAATATCTAATAAATATACATATTCATTAACAAAGAAATCATCTTAGAATAATTCTAAACTATATGTTAACAGATGATATTTTCACGTCCCCCTTCTTATCTCATGTATTGTAATTGCGTTATCTATTTGAGAACAGAACAAAATAATTTACACATCTGTTATCAATAACATCATCTTAATAACCAAAGGAAACGAGAATATACGAACTAGGATGAAACATAAATAACGGAAGGAAGCAAGAGATCGATAAAATATATGCGCCCACAATTACTATACATACCAATAGAAGATGAATAAATTAAAATAATGATAAATAAACACAGTTATTGACAGGACAACAAAATATCTAATAAGAGTAATTCGAAAGGAAAATAAATGACAAAAAATATTTGTTTTTTAATGTCAAATGATTTATTGATTGTTACGTATCGTTTACTTTAGATCGTGAAAATCAATCTATGTTGATTACTGGTGAATCGGGTGCTGGAAAGACTGAAAATACCAAGAAGGTTATTCAATATTTTGCTTTGGTTGCCGCTACAACCGACAAGAAAAAGGACGAAGCTGCTGCTGCTTCTGGAGTAAGTCAATTAATCAATCAATCAATGAATTTTTTCATTCACTTTTTTTTTTATTTAAAATAGAAACCGCAACAGACACTTGAAGATCAGATTGTGGCTGCTAGTAAATATTTTTTTTTGAGAAAAATCTTCAGATAAATTGTTTTTTTGTCGTAAATAGATCCAGTTTTAGAAGCTTATGGTAATGCAAAAACTACTCGAAACAACAACTCTTCACGTTTCGTAAGTTTTTAATAACCCAATATGATGTGTTTCTTGTTGCACGTTCAATCACTATCCCATCTTCTTTTGATTCCATGCACAAATAATGTTAACAGAAGATTATAAAAGTTAACTCCAATGCATCACCACCACAATTTCTTGATTTTGAATCCAGTTTTGCCTCTACACCTATTCTTCATCCCATCACAAAGTATCAAATTGGCTCGAAATACTAATTCTTTCGATGTGTAAGTAATTGAGATTCATATTCACTATGCATGTATCCGACATATTCACTTGTGGTTGTTTGTGTTATTTATCTAAGTTAAATTTTTATCGAGCTAATGTCATTTGAATGCTCTTTTCTAGGGTAAATTCATTCGAATTCACTTTGGCCCAACAGGAAAAATTGCTGGCGCTGATATTGAAGTCTATCTTCTTGAAAAATCACGTGTTACCTTTCAGGTATAACTTTTATATTTTATGAAAGAATTTTTAATAATCATCTTCTTTTTTTTTCATTTCTATTGTAGCAACCAGGTAGAGTTATTTTAGTATTTTATTGATTAACTTATAATTTTTTTCACATTACTCATTACAGCTGAACGTAATTACCACATTTTCTACCAAATGTGTTCGGCTGCATTTCCCGAAGTGCAAAGTAAGTCTTAATAGTATTGATCCTGAAATAAAGTAGCATTATTTTCTATTTTTCAGAGGATTGTCTTCTTGAACCTGATGCATCAAAATACTTTTTCGTTGCTCAAGGCATGTTGACAATCGATGGTATCGATGATACAGAAGAAATGAGATTGAACGATGAAGCTATGGACGTTCTTGGCTTCACACCGGTTTGTATCGTTTAATTTTTTTCTATCATTGACACTTTATGAATATCAAAAATATCATCGTTGTATTTAAAATTATAGCCTGAAAAAGCTAACTTGTACAGATGTACAGCAGCTATTATGCATTTTGGTAATTCTCAATGGAAACAACGACCTCGGGAAGAACAAGCAGAACCCGAAGGTACAGAAGAATGTGAAAAGGTGGCACATTTACTTGGCATTGAAGCTGCAGATCTTATCAAAGGTCTCGTCAAACCACGTATAAAGGTTTGAATTGAGACTTTGTTTATTTACTAAATAATCCTATGTTTATTTGACTTCAGGTCGGAAACGAGTTTGTTAACAAAGGTCAAAGCAAAGATCAAGTAACAAATTCAGTCGGTGCTTTGTCGAAATCGGTATGTGAAAATTTTTATTCGAATGTAGAAATAATTTTTTTATTTATTAGATCTACTTTCGCATGTTCTGCTGGTTAGTCGAACGTGTCAACGTTACTCTCGATGTTAAAGCAAAACGACAATATTTCATTGCTGTCCTCGATATTGCTGGTTTTGAAATTTTCGATGTGAGTATTTTTCTTTTGCAAAAAACAAATTCAATATAAAATAATAAATATTTTCTTAGTATAATGGTTTCGAACAATTATGTATTAATTATACAAATGAACGTCTTCAACAATTCTTCAATCATCACATGTTCGTGTTGGAACAAGAAGAATATAAGAAGGAAGGTATTAATTGGGTCTTCGTCGATTTTGGTATGGATTTACAAGCTTGTCTTGATTTGATTGAAAAGGTTATCTATTTATTTTTATTCTTCGTCGAGCTTTTTTTCTATTTTCTTATTTGTTAATATTAGCCTATGGGTATTCTATCAATTCTTGAAGAAGAATGTATCGTCCCTAAGGCAACAGACAAAACATTTGTTGAGAAACTTTATAGTCAACATTTGGGTAAACATCCTCAATTTGGTAAACCAAAACCATCCAAAGGCAAAGCTGAAGCTCATTTTGATATTCATCATTATGCTGGTACTGTATCTTATACAGCCACAGCCTGGCTCGAAAAGAACAAGGATCCAATTAACAATACTGTGTAAGTGTTCATTAAATTAAATTTCATTGTATAGAATTTATTTCTTCATTCTAGTGCTACTTTGTTCGCTAAATCGAAGAATTCATTGTTGAGTCATTTGTACCAAGATGTCCTAGAAGCTGAAGATGGCAAAGGTGGAGGTGGTAAAAAGAAGGGAGGAGGTAGTATGCAAACTATCTCGTCTGTTCATCGAGTAAGTTTTTGTCTTATATTTCGAATCGAAGAAAAACATTTATTTTTATCACTTTATAGGAACAATTGAACAAATTGATGAACACATTGAAGCAAACTCATCCTCACTTCGTACGTTGTATCATCCCCAATGAAATCAAGACTGGTGGTGTTCTTGATGCTCATCTTGTAATGCATCAATTGACATGTAATGGTGTGTTAGAAGGTATTCGTATCTGTCGAAAAGGTTTCCCTAATCGTATGATTTATGCTGAATTCAAACAACGTTATTCAATCTTGGCACCCAATGCCATTCCCAAAGGTTTTGTTGATGCCAAGAAAGCTACTGAAGATATTCTTAAGGATGTTGCTTTATCCGAAGAATTATATCGATGTGGTAACACCAAAGTCTTCTTCAAAGCTGGAACACTTGGTCAATTAGAAGATTTACGTGATCAAGCCTTATCTAAAATCATTTCTACATTACAAGGTCAAATTCGTGGTTTTATTATGCGTAAAAATTATAAAAAGATGTTGGAACAACGTTTGGCCTTGTCCGTTGTTCAACGCAATCTTCGCAAATACTTATCATTACGTAATTGGGCATGGTGGAAACTTTACACGAAAGTTAAACCATTGCTTTCAGTTGCTCGTCAAGAAGAAGAAATGAAGAAGATTGAAGAAGAATATAAAGCACTTAAAGAAGCATTAGAAAAAGAAGAAAAATTACGAAAAGAAGTTGAAGATGCTAACTCAAAATTAGTTCGAGGTAAGATAAACAAATGAAAACATATTCAAGACATTTTTTTGTTTGTTTAATATTTTAAGAGAAAAATGATTTATATCAACAACTTGAATCTGAACGATCTGGTTCATCAGACGCACAAGAAAAATATACACGATTAGGTAAAATTTGATTTTTTTGTGGAAAGAATATATTCAAAATCTTTTTTTTTCAGTCACACAAAAGGCTGATCTCGAACAACAAGTAAAAGATTTAGAAGACCGTTTTAGTCAAGAAGAAGAAAGTTCTCAAGAATTAAATAATAAAAAGAAGAAATTAGAACATGAAATTGACGGCTTGAAGAAAGACATTGATGACATACGTTTGAATTTACAAAAAGCTCAAAATGAATGCAAAACACGTGATAATCAAATCCATACATTACAAGATGAAATTGCTCGTCAAGATGAAACAATTGCTAAAGCTACACGTGAACGTAAACGTCTTGAAGAACAAAATACAAAGACAACTGAACAATTACAAGCTGAAGAAGATAAAGTGAATCATTTAAATAAATTAAAAACCAAACTTGAACAAACCCTAGATGAATTAGAAGGAAGTCTTGAACGTGAAAAGAAATCTCGTGCTGATTTAGATAAATCAAAACGAAAACTTGAAACAGATTTAAAAGCTGTTCAACAAAATTTAGAAGATTTTGAACGATCAAAACGTGAATTAGAAGAAAATCTTAAACGTAAAGATCAAGAAATTCAACAAATGAGTGGACGTCTTGAAGATGAACAAGGACAAGCAACAGGTCTTGGAAAGAAAATCAAAGAATTACAATCACGTATTGAAGAATTAGAAGAAGAAGTTGAAAATGAACGACAATCACGAACCAAAACCGAAAAACAACGAGCTGATTTAGCACGGGAAATCGATGAAATGAATGATCGATTACAAGAAGCTGGTGGTGCAACATCATCACAAGTTGAAATGAACAAAAAACGTGAATCAGAATTACAAAAACTTCGTCGTGATTTAGAAGAAGCTAATCTTCAACATGAAGCAACAGCTGCACAACTCCGTAAGAAACATCAAGATGCTGTTACTGAAATGGGTGAACAAATTGATCAATTACAAAAATTGAAAATCAAATTAGAAAAAGAAAAACAAACAATTAAATCCGAAACAGGTGATTTACGTACACAAGTTGAACATTTACAAAAAGGTAAAGTAGCTGCTGAAAAACTTTCAAAACAACTTGAACAACAATTAAATGACATCCAAGTTAAACTTGAAGACCATGTTAAACAAATCGCTGAGTTGAATAATAATAAATCTAAATTAACCAGTGAAAATACTGAATTAACTAGACACATGGAAGAATATGAAAGTCAAATTGCAACTTTAACTAAAGCCAAAACAACTTTACAACAACAACTTGATGAAGCTAAACGAACAATCGATGATGAATTACGTGGCAAAGGATCAGTTAGTAAGTATCTTATAAAAATTGTTTTAAAATTGATAATAAATCTTTTCGAAATATTTATTTAGCTTCACAAATCCGTAATTTAACTGCCGATCTTGAACAAGCACGTGACCAACTTGATGAAGAACAAGAAGCTAAGAGTGAATTTCAAAAACAAGTTACTAAACTTAATGCTGAAGTTCAACAATGGCGATCTCGTTTCGAATCAGAAGGTTAATATAATTTTTTCAAACAAAAAACAAAAATATCATATATGTATATTTATATAGGTATGTCTCGTGGTGAAGAACTCGAAGAAGCTAAACGTAAATTAGCTTCGAAATTAACTGAAGCTGAAGAACAAGTCGAAGCTGCATTAAACAAATGTAATGCATTAGAAAAAGTTAAATCACGTCTTCAAGGTGAAGTCGAAGATCTTATGGTTGATGTTGAACGTGCTAATGCTAGTAAGTTTATTTTTTAAATAATTAATTAAAGGGAAAAAAAACACAACATTTCATATAGATGCATCTGCTATGGATAAAAAACAAAGACAATTTGATAAATTGATCAATGAATGGAAACAAAAATGTGAAGATATCACAATTGAACTTGAAACATCCCAAAAAGAAGCACGAAACTTCTCAACAGAATTATTTAAACTTAAACAACAATATGAAGAATCACATGAACAAATTGATGCTCTTAAAAAAGAAAATAAGAACTTAGCTGATGAAATTAAGGTGAATTGAAATGAAGTTTCTTTTGTCTTTAGTAAGAAAATCTTCTTTTGTTTAGGATCTTATTGATCAATTAGGTGAAGGTGGAAAGAATGTTCATGAATTAGATAAAGCTCGTAAACGTGCTGAATTAGAAAAAGAAGAATTACAAGCTGCATTAGAAGATGCTGAATCAACACTTGAACAAGAAGAAGCTAAAGTTCTTCGTGCTCAAATGGAATTAAGCACAGTTCGACAAGAAATTGATCGACGAATTCATGAAAAAGAAGAAGAATTCGAAAATACAAGACGTAATCATCAACGTTCACTTGAATCCATGCAAGCAAGTTTAGAAGCTGAAGCACGATCAAAACTTGAAGCACTTAAACAAGTAAAAACCTAAACTACTCAACTTTTTATTTCATATAAAAATAATTTTCTTCTGTCTAGAAAAAGAAACTTGAATCAGATATTAACGAACTTGAAGTAGCACTTGATCATGCTAATCGTACAAATGCTGATTTACAAAAAACATTAAAACGTGTTCAACAAAATATCACTGAATTACAAGCACAAGTTGAAGAAGAACAACGACAACGTGACGAAGCACGTGAAGTTGCTATCGCAGCTGAACGTCGTGCTAATGTTATCACTGGTGAACTTGAAGAATTACGTACAGCTTTAGAACAAGCTGAACGTGCACGTAAAGCAGCTGAAAGTGAATTACATGATGCTGCTGATCGTATTAGTGATGTTAGCACACAAAATGCTAATTTATCTTCACAACGACGACAACTTGAATCAACAATTGCTGCTATGCAAGCTGATTTGGATGAAGCTGTTAGTGAACTTAAAAATAGTGAAGAAAATGCTAAGAAAGCCGGTTCAGATGCAACACGTCTCGTTGAAGAATTACGTCAAGAACAAGAACATGCTTTACAAGTTGAACGATTACGTAAAGGTCTTGAACAACAAGTTAAAGATCTTCAAACACGTCTTGATGAAGCCGAAGGAAATTCACTTAAAGGTGGTAAACGTGTTATTGCTAAACTTGAACAACGCGTAAGAAAATTTGATTTCAATTAAAAGGGGCAAAAAGAAAATTAATTTTTTGTTTTTGTTTAGATTCACGAATTAGAAAGTGAAAATGAATTGGAACAACATCGTCATCAAGAAACACTTAAAGAATTACGTAAAAATGATCGTCGTTTGAAAGAACTTGCCTTCCAAACAGAAGAAGATCGTAAAAATCAATTACGTTTACAAGATCTTTCAGAAAAATTACAAGCCAAACTTAAAGTCTATAAACGACAAGTTGAAGAAGCTGGTAAATAACATTTTTTTTGTCTGAAATCGTATTTACAAATTAACCTTTTTTTTTCTTTTCAGAGGAAATTGCTGCACTTAACTTAGCTAAATTCCGCAAAGCTCAAACAGAACTTGGTGAGTTTCTTATTCAAAAAAAAATAAATAAGATCTAAAACAATTTTCTTTTTGCAGAAGAATCAGCTGAACGAGCTGACCAAGCTGAAAATCAACTTGGCAAATTACGTTCAAAAAATCGATCATCTGTTAGCATGGGTCGAACTTCCTCATCTGTAATTTATTTTCTATATTAATAGAATAATTAAAAATTCTTTTTCTTTCTTTTAGCATGACGTTCATGAATCATCAACATTACGAGCATCATCAACAATGCGTGCTAGTTCATCAGTTCGTCAACGCTAAATTGTAAAACAATCATGAGATTGTTTATTTTAATGAATGTGTAAGATGTTTTTCTTGTCATTGTCCTTTAATTTATCCCTTAAACTTAATGTAGTTTATCCACACTTTCTCCTGTTTTGACAATGCACTCTAGCCGAAGTTTTAAAAATAAATAAAAAATATGTATTGAAGAAATTTGTTTCAAACATCTTTTATATAAAATTATCAGCATAAATACCAATGATATTATATTCGCTTGTTAACTTGATATCTATCGAGGGCGATTAGATTAAGAAAAAATATCGAGTTTCAATAATAAATTCTATAGCAACATTTATTTGATGAATCGATTACGCATATCTCTGTATTGTGATCTTATATGTATTCATTTATCAAAGATAAAATACATCAAGGAAACAGACAATTAAAAAAAACGATGTTTACCATATATTAATTTGATTAATGACAAAACAAAACACGGAGGAAGGAGTTATACATAGATTATGACAATATGAAGGCCATAACTCATATCAATGTTATCCATTAATTATATCCGAAGAGAACACGGACAAAAAAGTATAATATAATTGATACACAGCTGGCTGTTTTCTTTATAATATGCATATACATTCTGTACTAAACTATAGTCATTATATGCGTTTCTATAAATGAATAAGAAAAAATATCACGAGTTTTGAAACGTCATCAAATGGATTTTATTACCCATTTAATTAAGTAAATAATACTGATATTCGAGTTTGACCTTATAATGTAAACCAGACAATCATCATATAGATAATTAGAAACAAACATATAGAAAAAAAATGATTATTTTGAATTACGATAACATTGTACAACTAAAATCAACAAAATGTGTTAATTAACTCTCGATAATATGTATTATCAGATGTGAGATTATTTATTTTTATCCTTTTACATTTTTAGTTTCAAAGACTGGATCAGTCAAAACAAAAAATGAAATTTATATTATATAATTCATAGTTCCTAATATATGTTCAACAAAAAATGATATTATTTTTGATTCCTATATGTTAGTAAAGTAGCACCATTCAATACTTTACCTACAGTTATTTTATCTCTAGTTGACAATTATTTCTATGAGTCTTATCGGACTATTGATTCTTGTGAAAAAAAAGAATGCATCCATGCAGGAGAACCATCTAATAACTGTTCAGTAGTAAAAATAACTTCATTTCCTTTCCGTGCGCAGATATCCGAACCGTATTGTTGTTCGAGTTCAATACGAAAATCATTGACATGTGAGATCGACGGAAATAATAACGTTTGACGATATATCTCAAGAATACCTCGTGAAAATACGTCATTTTGCATTTTTCGTCGTTCATCATGTGTTAAATCATTGATAGTATTCAGTATCTTAGTCCATTTTTTAATCAATCTGTGGTCTATCCATTCATGAAATGTTCCTTCTGGCTTACAGAATTTTGGCGCTAAGCGATCAATAAATCGACACATAATAGAGGATGATACTGCTCGAATATAATGGCTCGAATCTATAGATTAAGAATATAGGCAATAGAAATAAAACAAATATGATTGACTTACGTGCAATATAATGTCGAAATTGTTGTAATCCAGATTTTTCAGGTTTGATATAAATACGATCGCCACGATACGGATGATTTGAATCTTTCGATAAACTTTTTAATTTTCCAAACAAAATATGCGAAAATTTATTAGGCATACATCCATCTATAATGTCCATTCCACTGAAAAAAAGATGCATACGAATGATTATATTTTAAGTACTTCTTAAAAATCTTACTAAGCTGGATAGATATGCCATCGATCGTGTTTGTTGCCTCGTTCATGAAAATGTGATGATTCATCACCACGTAAATAGATGAAAGGAGTTTGATTAGAAGATTCAAGACGTAATACTGTTTGGAATATAGATTTGATTGGATCCAGAGTGAAATATAGAAGACGTCGAATAAAACCCGAACGATGTTCATTACTATGAGCTTGATTACCTTTCGCAAGCATCAGTTGTGTAAAGAAGTGATGAGTTGAATCGTACAGAACAAATACTCCTAAACGCAATGATGAAAATCATGTAAAGAATATTCTTACTGGAGAACATATTTATATATTATGCTAACCTGATGAAAACTGAACGGGTTTGTCGTTAAGAGTAGCTTCTTGAAAGAAGAAATGGATCAATGAACAAATATTACATTCATTGACATCTTTGTATGAATCATGATTATGAATAAGATGATGAAAGAAAATTCGACCTAAATCAGCTTGAGTTATATTGTATTTGATCGATTTGCAGTAAGAACTATCAGTAGATAATATGTTAACTGTATTGGATATAGTCATTTGGCGGTGTAACCAGATCAATATTATTATCGCACAGCAACGAGTCATCAAACGTAACCAGAACTTATTAATTGGATTTCTACATAATATAACCATGGTAGATAATTGAAACTAAAGAGAAAAACACGAGTTTTTCATAGTTAAGAAAAAAGTGACTAAGAAAGATAATATTAGCATGTAGATATATGTCTTGTGACATGCTTATAATCGAAAAGAAATGATTCATACGAAGACATACAAGTCCAATAAATCAATTATGGTGTTATTAAAATGATGAAAACGTAAAGAAGAAAAAAAATACTACCATCATACCTTAGAGATAGATTATAATAGAATCTAAATTAGCAGTTAATTTAAATGCGTTGACAAGTTATATCATAAGTGTGACATTCAATTTGAAAGAAAAAACAATAATAAATTAGTTCTATGATGTTACTTTTTCTTCTCTACTATAGAACGAAAGAAAAAAAAGAAAAGTTTCGTCGATAAATAACATTTCATCACATGTTTCAAGTATGTGATTCACGCTTTCTATTGCGTCCTTCTAACGTGTTGTTTTTATTCTGAATAATATCATACTTGTTGAATAACAAATATAAACTGAGAAACTATTTTTGTTTTAATTATTTATTTAAAATTAAAGTAAAATCTATTATATACATTTTATCTATCTCGGCTTTTCATTGCTTGATGGATACACATCCAACAACAATGCTTTTACGAATGAACCAAAGAATCTTTCATCAACAGTTGATTATATCAGTACTTACAATGCTCTCTATGCTCACATGAACATCATTTACTGAAGAAAATAGGATCAAAATTCTTTAATCATTCAATGAACGATCAAGTTTTGTAGGATCTTATTCATCGGCAGTATTCCATTATTTTAGTTCATTTCCATTTCGGCTTTATAGTAAAATAATAACACAAGAACCACCAACTTTTTTATCTTTCGCTCTTATTATTCATTCAATAATAGTATATTATCCTTGTCTCAATAAGTTATAATGAATCATGGAGTTGAAGTCACTTAAAAATGCCTACAAAAATGATAATTATGATCATCGTACTGCATTTTTCAATAAAATTTCAAAGTTATTAGAAGTTTATAATAATCCAATTTATATGAACACAAGATTACTAGTAACTATTTATTTAGAAGAATATAGCTGTTTAAAATACAGTATATTGAATGACTGCATTAAACTAATTTTCTATCCTCTTGAAGATGATACTTCCCACAGTTAACAACATTTGTTAGCATTCTGTTCGTTCGTTATGAAAGTACATATGGTCATCACAAATAAAAGGTAATTATATTGGTATTAGTTTTCATTGATTAATGGAAATTGCTGAAATGTTTTATGGACTTATTTGACATCAATGTCAGCATAAATATGAAATTAAAGACATGTATTAGAAGTCTCTATATAAACTTTTTCATTATTTACCCTTTTCTTTTGATATACGTTTAAGATTATATTTCAAATTTCAGTATATGTCAGGATTGATTTAGTTGCTCATAAATAAATCATTGTCGTGTTTCATTTATTTTTGTAAAGCAATAATCATCGATTATAGATGCATGACTGACGAGTGCACATTTTCATATTTCAAATGAAACTAATCGATAAACAAAATAAATGAATTAAAGCAATGGAATATAAATATGAAAAATAATAGGCGAGGTCATTCTAAATATTTATTATACATTGTTCGACCCACATCCTCATACTTTAACGATATAGGCCTTCCTTTTCTTGTTCTTTTTTTGTTGCAGAGATATTTTATCGATAATCATAAATATCAAAATTAATTCATATGTTTATTGTACAAAAAAGACCATCAGCTCATACATATCTCAAGAGTAACACTTTTATAATTAGGTTTTTATTCAGATTATCTTATTGTACATATTTGCTTTTTTACTATTAAAATCAATGATATTTATATGGTACCCTATTTAACTATTTAATTTTAGTTAAAATCCATATTACAAAAAATAAATTAACGATCATTAAGTAAAATAAAAAATTATATTTTTGATGGTTTTGAAGAATTTCCTAAATTATGCTTGATGCCATATTTTTCTCTTAATTGTCTCATTAATGGACGATTAAAAGGACAAGTAAAATTTCTACCATTATCAATATAACCACCATCTTTCCATTCATTATGTTCATGTATCACATCTTCTATCCACATTTCTAAACATCGAAATGGTTTATCAGGTGATCTTTTAGTTACTAAAGAACAAAATTCTTTGTCTTTTTCACACATTTCAACAAATAATTGTCCATCAGGTGCTAAATTTTCTCGAGGTTCAACTGGTAATGAAAATCCTTGTAAAATAAGTTGACCTGCTTGTCGAATTAATTTTATAACTTCATCTTTTTTTATACCTTTGGCTCGTTCATTGATTGGATAATAAAGACCTTTAATATACGGTGCACCACTTGTCATATATTGTTCAAGATATGAACTATATGCTCTTGGCGTATTTTCTGATGCCCATGGTCTTATGCCTCCAAGATTAATTGAAACTGATCCATCAGACAAAAATGTTTGATACATTTGACCAGTACCTGGTCCAGTGATATGAATATCCATTTCACGTATAACTTTCAGTTGAGCAATAAAATTATTCTCAATTAATTCATAAGTTGGAGATCGAGAATCAAATGGCGTTGCATTGATTTGAATTGAACTCATATTTTGTGCCTTAACTTGTTTATAATTAAGATATGTGACATTAATTAATGGCCACTCTAATTTATTTGTATTATCTTTAGTTTTATTTATATTAGAATTAGTATAATTGTTTATTTCATGAATTGCAGCATTGATTTCTTTTCGATCACTTTCTGTAAAACGTATATTATCGATAACATATGCTCGAAGAACATCATGAGATGTTCGATATTCTGATGAAGTTTTTTGTCGAATAACGGGATGAATAAAACCATGTTGTTGATACATTCGATCACGAAAAAGTCTTGAAGCATTTAATTCAACACCACCAGGTAATTGGTAATTTGGTTGTGTACAACGTTGACAAAAAGTTCCACTACCCATAACAACTTCATCAAATACAAACCATCGTCCTCTTGAAAGTTTATTTAAAACAGACGTTTTAATAATTCCAAGACCACCAAAACGACCATAAATGTCTTCACTCCAACAGCTGTCACATTCATCTATACCGGCAAGAATACGAAATGGATGAAGATGTCTAGGTGAAAATCGAATTAATGCAACATAAGCTGGATAAAGTCCATCGAAAAGTGCATGACCAATATTATGATGCCATGGTTGACCAAAATGTAGAGTAACATATGGAATTCTTCTTAAATAAGTAATATTTCGAACAAAGTTTTCAAGATGATTATATGAATCAAATTCACGTTTATTTGGTTTCATAGCCCACATATCGAAAGCACTTGTTCGTGTAGAATATTCAGGTAGATAACTTCCTTTTACTGTTAAAATTGTATGCCAACTATCAACATAATATAGATTTTGAAACAAACAAGATTGATTATATGATGGACCTATACATTGGATTTTTGTTTCTAATGTTTTATTCGAATATATTAATGTTGAATTTGTAAAATATAAATTATATTTATCAGTTTCATTTGTTAACGATTTTGATGATATTGTAAAATCCGGACTATTGATAATATTTGATATAAATGAAGTTTGTTTACTAGTATTTCCTGTCCTTATTAAGAAATATAGTATCATAATAATAGATACAATTGTGACATAGATCAACGTTCGACGAGCACTCACTGGATAATTGACTAATTTCATTTGTCTTTGATTTAATATAATTTACGATATTCAGAACTAAACTAACAGTCACGGAGACTGTTTTTTTTATAGAAGCGAATAAATTTTTCCAATAAATCTCTATATATCTAAAAATAATTATTCTATAACCTTGAAATAAATAGAAATATATATCCAAAATAAACACTTCTCTTTCGATTGTAAATCAATGAAGTTCAATTAATAATTAATAAGTAGCATCATAACAATTTCTTAGTGAGTTTTTGTACTTTTTTTCTGTTTCTGAATCTTTTAACGAACGCTTGCTATAGGGAAACGAAAGACACATTATCGAATGATGAAGAATAATTAATCTATCTTCTATACCTCATACTCTAACACGTGTTGATACATTAACATACCAAACAGTATCATTTTTGATAAAAAAATCGTACTTTTTTTTGATTTTATCGCAATAAGAGAAAAATCAAAAACAAATTTTAATCAAAAATAATATTGAGACTATTGTAATGTTTTATATTAATTAGTAACTAATTATTCTTTTGCCATAGATATAACCAATAATTGAATATTATAGGTAATGCTATTTCTACAAGTATTTATTCATGCGTACGTGTAATGTGAAAGAAAGAAAAAGAAAAAGAAAAAATGTATACACTATACATTTTTATATTAGAGACGATTATTCAAGTAGATAAAAAAAAGTCATGTAAATGAAGTTTTTTATACTAAAACCCCCCCTTCATAATAAAAGACCCTGGGTCTTCTATTATGATCCGTCAAACTTTTGAAATTTTCATCCATTTCTGCTGGCGAAAACACAAAATCAGTATGGAGCGATCTCTCCAGGGAGTCTTATAAAATGAGGGGCTTTTTAATATAAGGAGGAAGGGGGATGTTATTTCAAGAAAAATGTATGTATCAATAGCAAGAAATATTTTTATGTTTGGCTCATTAATCGAAGAACAATCATTTGAATTGTTACTTGAGAGATTTAGACAGAATCAAATGTCCTCCAAAAAAATCTGATCTTACTCAAAATGATTGACTATAGATCTATCAATAAATATTTACAAATAAGCAGAGAATTTAAGCAAATAATCATTATTTCTGATGTTCTCTTAAATCTTATTCATAACTAAAGTAAGATGCAGCTTGTATTTTAGTCATGTTTTAACTAAATTCAATATTCATTTAAGAAAAGACAATTTTTAATGTTTACATTACAAATATTAGAATAAATTCAAATAATTAATGTTCGAAACTATTTAAGATTTATTCTCGAGACTTTATAAAATTTAATTATATAAAGTATCTTAATATAAATTATGAAAAAAATAATCTTATCTATTTTATTTAAAATCTGTATGAAAATATTTTTCTAAACTCTTTCTAACTTGTCAATTTTAAGTATAGTCTATGATCAAAAATAAATCTTATGAATAAAATCAAATAGAATAGTTTTTCTTCTCTAGTTAAATATTCGATAATGAAAAAGAATGTTATTTGATAATATATACAACTCATAACTTTTAAATGATACATATAATTTTAATCCATAAGAAAAAAATATCTACCTCGTTCATCTTCGTTATATGGCCATATTGACATGGCTATAAAAAAGGTACAAATGAGTCCTTTGTTGGTATGATTCTGTGCATATTTATTACCCTTCTCGTGAAGGAGAAAAGAAAAAAAAAGAATGTATACATGTAATGTTTTATCCGTGGTATGAAAAAGAAATTGGATGAAATCAAGTAATAAATGACGCGTGACTGTACATAAACGAAATAACAAATATATGGAACGATATTTTGCAGCCAAAAATATCAATTTTGAAATGTAATATGCGAATCAGTATAAAAACAAATAATAAAATCAATTATTAATAATACTTAACCTATTTTTCTTATTAAAAGCCTATTTCTTCAAGAAATAATATGAACTAGTTAAAAAAAAACATTTGGTCACAACACTAATTGTGACAACGATGATGAAATAGTAAATACTATACAGATATTTAAAGATGTTAATGTATGCATCGACTTTATTACCGATATTTATGATGATAATATATTTATAGATATTAGACCAATGTGTGAAGTACTTGAATATGCTTTTGAAGATTATGATCGAAACTCTGTCTCGATGAGTTTTCTTCAAACGACTGATGAAATATCAAATATAAATCTTAATCAACTTGATTCATCATTTATGTATATACAAATACTCAAAGATATTTTACTTACAATTTCGGGGGTGTTCAAGGATTGATAAGTAGGAATTAACTCAATTCCTTAATGATGCAATGAAACTCTTATAGTGCACACAAAAACTGAGAGCGAACATACAATTCTTTCGCATTTTCTACTTGATTCCTTCGTATATTTCTAGAAAGTAAATCAACATATGAGAAAACTAACACCAATTTTTAACCTTAACTATCTCCCAACTCCACGTATCCAATCGGAGAACTTAAAAACAGTAGTTGTAACGGTTATGAATCAAAGAAATGAAGAGAACTAATATTCAAACTATCAACCATATATATATATATGGTATATATAATAATAATAATTTTAGTCTTTATCTTAGTTTACATCATAGAAATTGTCTGAAATCAATAAAATATTTATCTGTCATCTTGTTAATATTAATTTATAAAATCTATGTCAATAAAAAAAAAATATTATTTTCTTTTATTTATTTTTATAAATTAATTAATGAATAAATAGAATTTGTTTGTTTTAAGTATTACATATAGATTTTTGTTAGTATTTGTATTATTGATAAAAGATTAGTAAATAAAAATATTCAAATAGATTTACAGGAGATAATTTCAAATTCTTCTCTTCATAAAAAAAATGTTAGTTATATGTTTTTAGGATTCTGGTATTACATATAATTAATCAATAAAAAAAGAGAAAAAACAATTTAAATTGTTTAATCAAAGTCAAAAGAGATATATATTAACACATTTTGACTAAAGTCTGTATATGATCTGCATTATAACTTGCTATAACAATATCCATCCATTTGTCTTGATTTAAATTAGTAATAGCAAGTGAATAAGGAAGATAATTATAACCTAAAGGATATGATATTGCATTTGTAAAACTTCCATTGCCACATCCAAAAAGTAGAAGTATATTGCTTGTACCAGAATTAGTAATAGCAAGATCTAGTTGATTATCATTATTTAAATCGCCAATCGCAATAGTATATGGTTGAGAACGAGTTCCAGTAGAATATGTCGTTATACTTGTAAATGTTCCATTATTATAATGAGAAAGAATAGCAATATTATCAGTTTCTGAATTGCTAACAACAATATCTGATATATTATCGTTATCAAAATGACCAACATTAATAAAAAATGGTTTAGAACCAACTTCAAGTGAATATATTATCATAGTATTAAATTTTCCATTATTATATCCAAGAAAAATACCTATGTTATCAGTTCCATAATTAGCTACAAGAATATCTAATGAACCATCATTGTTTATATCAGTAACAACAACGGAGTTTGGTTGAGATCCATCACCTGTAAGATATTTAGTTGGACTTCCAAAATTTTCATAGCCAAATGCATAAAGAATACTAATAGTGTTTGATTGAACATTGGCAGAAATAATATCTAATTGTCCATCCTTATTCATATCAACAATAGCTAATGATTGTGGTGAAGATAGTGTCCCAGTTGAATATGGTTTACCTAATAAAAAAGTACCATCTCCTAATCCGTAAAGTACAACAATATAGTTTGATACAAAATTAGCAACAACTATATCTGGTACATTATCATTATTAATATCAATAATAGTTAGATAAATTGGACCAGAACCATCTCCAGATGAATATGCTATCATAATAGCAAAACTTCCATTTCCTTGTCCAAGAAAGATCCCTATTGTATTAGCAATATAATTAGCAACAGCAATATCAGATCGATTGTCATTATTTAAATCACCTGAAGCTAACCACTCTGGATTAGCTTGAGTACCTGTTGAATAAGTGACTTGATTTTGAAAGCTTCCGTTACCATACCCAAGAAAAATACCTATAGTACTACTCTGAGAATTACAAACAACAATATCTAATTGTCCATCATTATTAAAATCATCAATAGTCACTCCTTGTGGTCTCGAAGGAACTCCAGTTGAAAATGTATTTGTAAGAAGAAAACTTCCATCATTTTGTCTTAGAAGAATACCTATACTATTTGTTATAGCATTAACTGAAACCATGTCTGTTAAATTATCATTATTGAAGTCATCAAAAGCCATAACACGTGGATTAGAATTAATGCCTGTAGGATATGCAATCATATTAGCAAAACTTCCATTCCCATATCCATAATAAACACCAATATTATCGTTTCCAGGATTTGCCACAATAATATCCATTTGATTATCATTATTTAAATCACGAACAGATAACATAGTTGGATTTGACTTATTTCCTGTTATATATGTTGCTATAAGAGTAAATGTTCCATTTTTTTGTCCTAAAAGAATAGCTAAATTGTTACTATTAATAGACGCTACAGCAATATCAAGATAATTGTCATTATTGAAATTACTAACAACAATTGCATATGGATTCTGAGCATTCAGAATAGGATAAATCTGTGGATCTTGAAAATATACATATTCAAATCCAAAAAATATACCAATACTATCTGATCCTCTATTTGCAACGACAAAATCACGTCGATTATTATTATTAAGATCACTCATAACTATTGCATTTGGATACGAACCAGTTCCAGTTGGATATATGATTTGATCCGTAAATGTTCCATTGCCATATCCCATAATTATACTCATTGTATTACTACCAGAACTAACAGTAATTATATCAAGATTTCCATCTTTATTAATATCATCAGTAATTACATATTGTGGATTAGAATCATTTGTAAGTGAATAAATAATTTGTTCATTAAATGTTCCATTATTCAGACCCAAAAATATACCTAAACTATTAGTAGCCGAATTAGCAACGACAACATCTGTTTTGTTATCATTATTGAAATCACCAACAGCAATAGATTTAGGATGTGAAGCAGTGCCAGTTGAATGAGTTGTGTGATTAGTAAACTCTGCAGCATAATATTCAGTTAAAATACCAACACTTCCAGTACCTCGAAGTGCAACAATAATTTCTAAATGTTTATCATCATTCAAATCTGCAACAGTAAGACCATATGGAATTGTATTTGAACCAGTTGAATATTTTCTTGTATAGATAAGACTACCATTACCATATCCTAAAAAGATAAGTATTTCGTTTGTACCATAGTTTGCAACTAACATATCATAATAATTATCATTATTATAATCAACTAAAGTGATACAAAAGGGTAAAGTGGCAGGTTGATTTGAATAAGTTATTGGTGATTGAAAACTTCCATCACCATTTCCAAGTAAACCAACTATTATTCCACCTAATGGAATAGTAGCAACAATATCCAACTTCGTATCTTTATTCAGATCAACAAGTACAACCGTTACACAAATTGCATTAAAAGCACCAGTTGCATAAGTTGTTATCTTTCCAAAACTTCCATTACCATAAGCAAGAAAAATACCTATACGATTAGGAAGTGAATTACTAACAACAATATCTGGATAAGTATCATTGTTGAGGTCACTAATAGCAACTGTATATGGTAAGGAACCAGTACCAGTAGAGTATGTTGTTACATTAGCAAAAATTCCATTACCAGATCCAAGAAAAACACCTATACTACCAATACCATAATTAGCCGAGACAATATCTAATTGATTATCATTATTAAGATCATAAAGAGTACTAAATAATGGTGCTGAATTAATACCAGTAGAATAAGTTATTGCAGTTGAAAAACTTCCATCTTTTTGTCCAAGAAGAACACCTATGCCATTAGTTCCTGAATTAGCTATGACTATATCTACTTGATTATCATTGTTTACATCACCAATAGAAAAAAATTGTGGAGTAGATTTATCACCAGTTCCATATGTTGGTCCTCGAATAAAATTTGCATTGCCAGTACCAAGAAAAATAAGTATATAATTATTATTGAAATTATTAACAGCTATATCTAATATTCCATCATTATTAAAGTCATGGACGAGAGGCATAGTTGGAAGAGAATTAAGTCCAATAATAAGAAGTGTTTCTCTAACAGCTAATATATCAGAATAACTATTGAGTATAAGTATATCATTAGTACCATAATCAGTAATAGCTATATCAGCTCGGTTGTTACCATCAAAATCAGCAACAATAATTGAAAAAGGAGTAGAATTAGTTATTATATCATTTGTAGTTATCGAATCATATGTAGTTAATTTAGTAAAACTTCCATTACTCGAACCAGGAAGAACATATATTTGATCATCTTTTGAATTAGCAACAATAACATCCAGATAATTATCATCATTCAAGAATCCAACATTTATAAATTGTAGATGAGCATTTGAATCAATTAAATATGTTGTTTGTTCTGTAAAAGTTTCATTACCATAATTAATAAATACACCTATATTACCAAGTCCAGAATTAGCAACAATAATATCAATTTCATTATCATTATTAACATCTCCCGTAGCAATAGAAATCGGATTTGAATTTCGAGTAGTTGTATATATTATTTGATTTTTAAATGTTCCATTACCATAAGCAAAAAATAAACCGATATTGTTGGTACCAAAATTAGCAACAACGATATCTAAATGATTGTCTTTATTGATATCAGCAATTGCTAATGAATTTGGAATTGAATCATAACCAGTAGAGTAAATGATTCCATCTTGAAAACTTCCATTACCCTTTCCAAGATAAATACCAATACTATTAGTACCATAATGGATAATAACTAAATCGGATTGATTATCATTGTTTAAATCAGCAGCTGCAATAAATAATGGATGAGCAGAACCGGTTGAAAAAATACTTTGATTTTTGAATGTTCCATTACCATAACCGAAAAAAATACCTATATTATGTGCATCATAATTAGCAACAACGATATCAAGATAATTATCATTATTGAAATAATTAGTAGCAAGTGAATAAGGACGAGATTTATCTCCAGTTGAATATGTTTGTTGATCTTGATAAGTTCCATCAAGATTTGAAATAAATATTCCAATATTATTTGCACCTGAATTCGCTACAATAATATCCATTCTATTATCATTATTAAGATCAGCAGCAGTACCAAAACGTGGTAATGAATCATATACAAGTGAACTTGTTATTGTTTGTCTAAATACCATTTCACAATTATTACCTAAAATAAATAAATTTATTGTAGAAAGATTAGATAATTATATTCTGGAATAATATAACATACTTGATTTTGGTGATGTAAAACAAACAATTAATATTGCGGTAATCGTTGCAATACTTGCAAATATTGTCATCATTAGGAGGAGCATTGTAGACAAATTTATTCGCGAAGAAAATATATTTCTATAAATAATAAATATATAGTTATTTTGTTATTATTGAAAAAAAAATACAAACTCTGTTGTTAAAGGCAAATTATCTTCATCTTGATGATTGTGGATATTTGTAGTGTTGATAACATTATTGTTATCATTCGATATGATTGGTTCTCGCGTAGTTTCTGAAGATGTGTTCGTTTCACCTGAAGCACATTGCTCATTGGATGAATCTTCTAAAGATATGACTTCAATCTCCATGAAATCTATTTATTCAATCTATAGGACAAAAAACAATATGTTTATGACGTAACATCAGATGAAGAAAGTAATGTGACATTTGAATGATGTATATATGTAACCTATTGTCTAAAAAAGTCTTTTATCTGATAAAGAGATTATGATCTGTTATAAAAAGATTGTGAAATGTGGTTTACATCATTATATAAAATATCTAGTCAATTAATTGTTTTATATAATAGACATATGGATATATAAGAAATTAATAACATAAAATAAACTCAATGTTTGATATTTGTTGTAGTGAGATATATATGGTTGTGCGAGACATAGATTTCATATGAAAGAATTGTAAAACAAAATATACAATGGTGAAAAGTTAAATGACTATACACGATTCAGTATCATTGTGCACAGTTAATATATGTACAACATTCTAATTTATTAATGAAAATAAATAAATTCGATTAAAATAAACAAACAATATTGTTAAAATAAGTGTTTCTACTAGTTTTTGCAACTGAAACTTGTTGTCAAGATGATCTGTTGAAATAGATTGGTCTCATTCATAGATTTGATAGTTTTATAATTAATAGAAGATAAAACAATATTTTCTTTTACTATACTTTTATCTTTTTTTTCAAAATCTAGAGAAAATTTTCTATTTTTTGCTAATATATATACAATATTGGGATAAATTGATTTATCTTTCCAAAAAATAAATAAATTTTAGCTGTGAGATTAATTTTGATTTGATGCAGTTTTCGAAAGTGAAAGTCACAGAATTATCTAATAGATGATTTTATAGAACTTTTTTAAATAGTCGTAAACAATCACTCATAAAAAAAATAATTAATCAATCTGATTTTTTTGTAGATGAGAAGTTTATTGTAACTAAAACTATAATCTATTAACATTTTGCTTTTTTATTTCGCATTTGAACTTTTCTTTTCTATTGTGGTAATTTATTTAATTTCTCTTATCGAGAGAGAGAGACTGTGAATTTCTATGATTTCAGAATATTTTTCACAAAAACGAACGTTCTTTATGAATAAAACTTACCTTATCGTCGATAAGTATGGTTGTATTTTTTTATTGCTTTTTCACCGTAATGAGTTAGCATTTATATAGATGTACATCGTATTTTCGATTATAAGACAGTAGATATGCATGAGAGAATATTGATATGATGCGTCATTATAACATTATTATGTAGCTTTTACTATTTAGAAAATAGAGAAGAAAAAATAAGACGCTTATGCAGGTAAGGTATATGAAAAGAACAATATAATACAAACAAATTTTGATTGATTTTATTCATCATTTCTTATTTCGTCCGAAATTTACCTTAAGTTTCATTATATTATTATTGACATGTTATTATATTATGATGAAGAAATAAAATAACTTGTTTTTATCCTAACCATTATTGTATAAATGAAACAAGTCAAATTCGAATATTGAAATAACAGACGTTGATATCGAAGTATTTTATTTTGATTCTAAGTACAAAAAAGTGAATATATATTTACATAACAATGATAGTTTGAGTTTCAAGAAATAATTATTGTTTATCATTTTAGTTATACCATGAAATTATTTGCTTTATTATCAGTAATATAATATTCAATATCGGCATGGATTTTTCGAAATATGATTTCTAAAATATTAATAAAAAGAATTTAAAATAATTGATAATTTATTATTATGACAGTTAGATTTATTATGATGATTATATTATCATGCACATATATGTTGGGGTCAAAATTGGAATTGAGTCAAATTTAGAATTTGACCAGACAAAATTGGAATTCTAGTTTTGACCGGGCAGAATTAGAATTCCAATACAGACCAGTATTTTTTTAGACAAAATTAGAATTCTAGTTTTGACCGGGCAAAATTAGAATTCTAATATAGACCAATATTTTCTTAGACAAAATTGGAATTCTGATTTTGACCAGGCTGAATTAGAATTCCAAAATAGACTGATATTTTTTTTTCGGGCAGAATTAAAATTTTAGTTTCGACCGGATAAACTTCGAATTTCAATCGAATTTTTTTATCTTCATCTGAGTTCTAATACTGTTCAAAAAAAATACTAGTATATGATAGAATTCTAATTTTATCTGGTCAAAATTAGAATTCCAATTTTGACCCCAACATATACATACATAGAAAAAAGAATACGTATATAAATTTGAAATAAATAAATGATTAATATGAAATAATCGATTTTGGATTCTCTAGACTGTAAGAATAGGGTCAAAAAACAGAAATCAATCTGTCTACATGTATCGTTTTTTTTTGGTCTCATGACACAAACGATCATCTTTTTTTTCATACAGATAGTCACATAACTATAGCATAAATAACTATATCGCTCTGATACTACTGATTATTTTAATGATGAGTAAATAAATATTTTAAAAATGACACATAGACAAGAAGTAAAAATTTCTAAATTTTGATAAGTATTTTTATGAAGATATTTACTTGACAATGGAATAGTTATTTATCTATATGTTAAATTTGATTTGTATACTTACAAATAGCTACAAAATATTTTCGATAATATAATTTTTATTATCTAATATTATGTTATTTCAATAGGACAATATTTAATTTATTTATGCACAAAAATGATGCGAAGTTAATTATTTGAAATATTTCTTAAAAAACTCTATATCACTATTTTATTAAATATAAATAATGATAAGAAGTTTGTTTTACTCTTCATATGTAGGAGCATAAAAACAGTATTAACAACAAAAAAATACAGAATACTTTCGAAAAAAAAATACTGATCCATATATTTATATAGCATGTCGTTCTTCATCATCAACAAATATTATCAATGCATCTAGGAAAGGAACGACAATGTGTTCAAATGCATCATACCACAACTCAGAAAACCAAGGGTCCAAAACTAGAACCTTCAGAAAGTATTCATTGTAATTTAATAATTTTAAAATTTTAGTAGTCGCATTATTGTAAAATATTTTTTAATAAACTTATCGATCTGATTGTCTTGTTACAGTTTATAGAAATAAATAAATGTGGAAACTTCGGATTGTATGCGAGAGTTATGTGTACTGCAAAAAGTGTATATGGAAATCATAGGGAAATATCAGTATTTTTGTAACAACTCTAGAATAGCCCAGTCAATTGGGCTCATCTTCGAACTCGACCGAAATCTTTATGAGTCTAAACTGTGTAGAAATTTCATCAATATCTGACTCTCCTTTCGCAAGGTATCGTGTAAACGGCTGGCCGAACATACTGATCGACTCTAGGAATGTACTCACTTTTTGAATACACTAAAACGAGGGCATCCACAGGGACTAAAGGGCTGTTCCTTAGTGCGCTCAAGGATGAATTCTTTTAGACAGATTGATCAAAATCAATCTATCGTGAACTTTACTTTTTGAGTACATAAAAATAACGTTCACCTTATGGAGAACAAACGAGTATCACACAGACACACTATTAAGGTATATGGCTTTTTCATAGTTTTTCACAAGTGTGATAGTAAAGACATATCGAACGCAGCATATCTACCCCCTATTATTTTACATCATTTTCAAGCTCTTGATGAGTTCTATCTACTCTAAAAAAAAGTGTTATTAGTAATATGAAAAACAAACAGATATCGCACTGACACATTATCAACATATATGATTTTTTTATATTTTACCCACTCTGTTATATAGGGACAATCTTGTGTGCAACCCGTTTACCCCTATAATTTAGTACCATCTTGTAGCTTATGAAATTCTCTATTGAATGCTATATAACAAGTGGACTTTTATTTTACTCTAGTAGAAAAATTGCTTACGAGAATGGCATTATATGATTTTTCCCTCCAAAAAAATATAGAAAAATCATAGTGAAATATAAGTTTTTTTTCAATAACTCGGGAATGATCAGGCCATTTAGGCTCATCTTCGAACTCGACCGAGATCTATATGAGACTGAATTGTGTACAAACTTTCAGCTCAATCGGACTATTCTTTCGTGCGTTATCGTGTAAACGGACGGACACACAGACCGATTCTAGAAGTGTACTCACTTTTTGAGTACACAATAACAAAGAATTAATAGTAGATTCATACCTAATTAATAATTAATAACTAATGGTTAATTAAATTTAACCTCAGATCCAAGTTATCCGTTCTAATCTGAGTTATTTTAGTTTTTGTGAAAAAACGTTAATTAAGCTTAATTAATTAATTAATTAAATCAGCTACCAGATTCGGATTCTTCACATTTGAATACACCTTTTTCAATCTTAAAAAATTTCTTCATTAATTAACGACTAATTAGAGCCTAGTTAATAATTAATTAATCAATTAATTAAAACGGACGTCAGATTTGGATTCTCCATGCCAAATTACCCTTCGTGCCACAAAATTAGCAAAAAAACTAGAAATAAAAGTGAATACTGTGTCAAATGAATCACGTTGACTAGGCAGTCTGTTGAGATTCTATAAAGTATTCTCGACGTTAGAATATAATGCTACACTTTTTTCTCAATATTTATATACCATTTTGTAGCCCTTGAAATTCTCTATCGAATGGTATATAATAGCTGAAGATTTATTTGCTTATAAAAAAAAGTTTTTTTTGTCAAAGTCGAAATACGTCAATATTCCAATACAACAAAAACAGGAAATATCAGTATTTTTTCAATAACTCGGGAATGGCCCGGCCAATTAGGCTCATCTTCGAACTCGACCGAGATCTAGATGAGACTGAATTATGTTGAAAATTTCAGCTCAATCTGACTCTCCTTTCGTGCGTTATCGTGTAAACGGCCGGACGGACGGACGGCCGGACACACTGACCGATTCTAGTAGTGTACTCACTTTTTGAGTACACAAAAAGATAGTATTCTCATATATAGAATTATAATAATATTCAACATATATTTATTATTACAAAATACAATTCTAAATATTTTCTATACCATCATTAATACAAAAAAACTTATATTTTGTTTTTTCTCATTAAATATTAACATTCGACCCACATGTCAAATATTGATTGTATTGATTAATTTTAGTTTGATCTGATGATCGAAGAATAAATGGAAAATGATGTTTTTCATAGTTATTTCCTTGATCTTTAGTCCATGTTTGAGGTAGACAAGGATTATTTAGATATTTTGAATTAATATATCGATAAAAATAATAAAAAGATGAAGACTGATCATTGATTTCTATTGAATTTTCATTATTATTATTATTATTATTCATAGATAAAATATGTTGATTTAATAATATTTCAGTTTCTTCTTTATTATTATTTAATATTCTTGTAGAATTGTCTTGTGAAACTAAATTATTCTTATTATTAATAAAATGATTGTGTAATATTGTATTGATGTTTTCATATTTAGGACATAATAATTGACAATCTTCTATTCCACTTTTTTTATAAGCACAAGATCGATGATTTTTAGTTGATATGCGAACAATATCATAACAAATCGTGGCATTTCTATTATCTATTTTAATCTGATTCCATTTCGCAATTAAATGTATTGATGTTTCAGGATGAACAATTGATTCGTGTAACATTCGTTTAATATTTAATATTCTCATAAAATAATGCTGAGCATTTCTGTTCGATGACATTGCTGCAAACTGATCATTATAACCACCATTTGACCATCCAAAAGGGATATAAATAATATTCTCATTTGATTTTAATCTTGGTTCATAGATCATATCATATAATCTTGCTGGATAAATTCCCCAATGATTTTTAATATCATGATTTATATTTTTATGTTTGAGATTTGAATGCGTATAAATGGAGATATGAAAAGCTTGTTGCCACCAATTTGTATAATAAACAGCATCATGACGCATTCGAAAGATCCATTTATAAACAATTCCATCCGCACTCCTATTTACATATTGTTGACGTAGTTCTTCACAACGACGTTGACTATGCCACATATAATAAATGCCAGGAATTGGTGGATGACCAAGAAAACGTTTCATTGAAGTATCATAAGTATTTTTATATATTTCACGTAAATTTCTCAATGATAAATATTCAAAAGCGTTAACTTTAACAGCTTGATTATGAAATGCAACATATTCATTATCAAGATTAATATATCCATGAAAATAGGAAAGAGTTGCATTGACTGATAAATAATTTGTGTACTTGGAAAAATTGTTTTCATTTTTATCTTGAGAGAAATGATATTGATTATTTTCATTAATATATGTATGAAAAAAGAGATGAATTGTATATGGACATCCACTCATCATATTAATAATATGACTTTCAAAATTTGAACTAAAACTTCGTGCAGTACCACTATATAAAAGTGCAACATATCCTCTTTTATCTGATTTTAATCTTGATGTTGATTTTACATAATTCCTATTTTTAGTAATAATCGATAATTGATTAGAATTTTGAAATTCTTGGAAAATGTTTTGTAAAATAAATCGATCAAGATTTGTGAGAATAATATAAGAAATGGACCAAGATAAGAAGAGAAAATAAAATATTGACCATAATGAAGAATAAGAATGACGACTAGAAAGATATTTTGTTGTAAATATTCGACAAAAATGTGTTCTCTTGGCCATTTAATTATAATTTCTAAATAAATGCATAAAAATAATTTTGATTTTTGTTTTGATTTCATCAATTCTTTGTTGAGGTTTTTCCTTCTCTTAAAAATATGTTGAATGACTCAAGAACCTTGTGAAAAATGAATGTCTAACTGCAAAAGTATATGTATATGTAAGAAAAAGAAACTATAATTGAAAAAAGAGGTTTGGTCATGCAGTGTGTCTTGACATGCTATTCCAAACAAAAATATATGAAAGCTATAGACATGTTGCAGAACTGAAAGAAAACATGAAATTTAAATACTTTTATGAAACTATTTCTAGTCCACACATTGTAGTCTGAATGAGAGACTTTTCATAGATCAATTTCTTCATATTTATCAATATTCTCTGAATAAAAACTAAATTTTTTGTTCGTAAGAAATAATTAATTTGATTCTTACCTTCAGTTTGTCAAGGTGTTGAATATACATAATGATGAAATGATATAACTGTGATATTTGTTTACTGTGTTTTTGTTCGTTCTTTACTGTTTGTTGTTGTTTAATTTGTTTCCATTAAAATATATTGATATAATGTTAACAATTAGTGTGTGTTTTACTCTTTTCTTTATTTATATATCTTTGATAGAGTGATATTTTATTTTTAAATATTGGACTAATGAAAATCTATTTTGTGAACTGAATATATTATTAGAGAAAAGAACCCAGACGCACATACACATACATACACACCCACACTATTAGTTAACAATATTACGATATATGAAAAACAACCATTTAAAAATATATGTCTGATTCAACGATGGAAAGTCCAGTTGTGAAACAGCATTGCAAAATTGTTCTGAGGACAGCACCCGTCGTTCATTGAAAAGTTTGACTGACAGGAACTCACTCAAGGACTCAAACGGGCCAGTTCGCATAGTTTCTGCTTTCATTTTGTTTTGCCATTGGTCAAATGCGATACCTCTTGTTTCAACACCACATTTCACCATACCTTTAACTATATCTTCGAATGATATTCTACCATATGGATTGGCAACGTGATAGACACTTCCATAAACACTAGGTTGTTTTTGACTTAGATAAACAATACTTTTGGCACAAAAATCTACTGGTAAACCATCGAATGTGGACTTCATAGCCAATAGAGGATAGCATCCTACTTTCATAATTGCTGCCATTAATAATGTATGAAGATCATGTCGATTACAAACACCAGTCTCTGTATTACTACTAATCGATCCCAGACGATAGATAACTACTGGTAGACCAGAGCGACTTGCCTTGTACATGAGTTTCTCTGCTACCCATTTACTTTGTCCATAGCCACTGGTTAAACCATCCGGAGGGATCTTATCAATCGACACCTCTCTGATAATATCAGAAGATAGAACGCTTACCGTGGAGATGTATTGTACAGGTATGCAAGTGGCACCATGAGTAGCCAAACGAATAATCTCACGAGTACCACATACATTTGGGCCATAGAGTTTATTGTAGGGAAGTATAAAATTGACAGTAGCACCACAGTGAAAGATAATATCTGTTTGAGCGGCGAGTGACTCATATATTTCATTGTCTAGTCCAAAGTGATCCTTAGCCAAATCACCTCGCAATGCAATGATCCGTTCTCGAAACTCATCTTTCCATATACGAAGAAATGACATATTATCTCGAATACGATCTATTGAATTGCTTATTGGATTGCATCTTACAAGACAAACAAATTTGCACTTCAGAGGATAGACGTTTAGCATTTCTGCTAATAAGAAACCACCGACATATCCTGTGGTTCCTGTGACAAAAACCATAGAAGGAGATATATGTGTAGGTTTGCATTTACCAACTGTAATATTCAGATCGATGTCAGAGTCATGAAGCATTTGCGGTACGATGGACGCTGGATGAGATGAAATCTGTGAGGGATTTTGCACCAGTGTTGTCAAACGCTTCAGATTCATCTCGGATTGAAAAAATACATTGGCTGGTAATGATACTGCGAGTTCATCTTGTATCATGCGAGATAAGCGCACAGCTGCTAATGAATCACCACCAATAGCCATAAAATCCTCATTTTTATCAGTTAACAACAGTGACCGTCCTGTTGCAGTTTCGATAATTGTTTTCAACTTTTGTTCAATCGAATGTGTTGTTGTTTTCAGTCGTTCAGCATAATGTGCACTTAGTTTTGGTCGACAGGGCTTCATTGTCGAGGTAAGAAGGCCATTTTCCGGTGTGAAAGGTTCAAAATCGATTAGTAGTCGTGATGGAATTTCGTGCGGTCGAAGTGATTCTTGTTTCGCGATCAGTTGCAAATCTTGCATGACTGCATCACAAAATTTTGGATCTGGCTTGTTTATATCTAGTTTTCCTAGATTGTTTCTCACCATAAACGTCTGAGCATATTCGCGATTTGGTACGACAACTGCCGCAACACTATCTGATAGAAGGTCACCATGAATGTAGATTTGATGAACAAAAACACTTTTGTTATAAACTCCTTGAAGAAATTCAGGCGAAACAAATTGGCCTTGAGAAAGTTTGAAGAAGTTTTTCTTTCGATCAATAACATGCACATGAGGTCTTCCTATTACTCTAGTATGAAGTTCAACAATGTCACCAGTACGAAAAAATCCATCCTGAGTCAGAGCTGCTCCAGTTTCGTCTGTGTTATTAATGTATCCAGAAAATATTTGTTCTGTTTTGACCAAAAATTCTCCTCTTGGGAATGGTTTATCGTCGAGTGTGTAGCCCATTTCTGGAACCGATTCCAATCGATAATTGAGTTTATTCTCTAGGAAATTATTTACGGCAACACTGCCACACTCCGTAATTCCATAGGTTTCAAAGATGGAACAATGTGAGAAGCATTCTCGCATGAAGTCTAGCACTGCTGAACTGACCATGGCACCTCCAATACTGATTAGTCGACATCTCCTTGGAATGAGTTTTGAAAACTGTTCTAGAAGATGTCCTTTTTCTACCGCGGTAGCATCTGGTGTCAGATTAGCGGTCGCCAAAGATAGAGTCGCTTTGAACTCAGAATAAATTTTATTCCAAATCGTCGGTGGACCACCAAACTGTGTAGGTCGAACTAAAGCCATCTCTTCCATGAGTCGTGATACGTCTCCTGAAGAGAATCCAGTGCGTCCTCCACACAGAAATGCTATAATGACTGATTTTCGACCACTTGACCACGCCAATGGTTCATATACGAATGAGACATGTTCAGAATAAGATAGCGAATAACAACGTAGAAAGTTACTCCAAAACGCATCTTTGTTGATAATTACACCTTTTGGAAATCCTGAACTTCCACTCGTGTAGATGATTGTGAGGCAATCAGTTGGTCCAATAGGGACAGACTCGTAATATTTCATAGCACCATATCTTTCAATATCTGCCATATAATGAATCGAAAGGTTAGCATTTTCTATAAGAGAAAAGAAAAGTTGAGAAATATTTATTTCCTCGATGCGATCTTACAATGCAACTTCTATGTCACCATAGAAACATTGTGCACTTACCGACAGTTGTCTTTAAAATTGGATCCATGCAAACGATATGACGTAGTGATGGACATTGTGAATATATTCGAGTAAATTTTGGTAGCATCTCATTATCACAAACAACGACAGATATTTTTGTATTGTTGATGATATAAGCAACATCACGATCATTGAATAGACAGTAGATTGGGACACTGATAATGCTGTGCAACATGCATGCAAAATCAGTTATCATCCATTCGGGTCGATTAGCTGCACAGATAGCAAGATAACCACGAGGTTCAACTAAATGTCGAAGTCCGTGCCCAAAATTCTTTGATCGATCGCCTATTGTCTTGAATGTTAACCAGGTGTAGGCATCTGTGTATTGCCCTGGATTGTTTGGATCAGTATCTCGTACACCCATACAATGACGATCCTCATATAAAGCCATCGCAGCTTGAATACTCGTTATCATATCCAGTTCCGTGATGTCCATATTTTTTACATGAGCGTATGCCAGTTCACGAATCATTCGATGAGGATGCGGTGGGTAAACTCTCATAGTGCATTGTTCGCAATGGTCATAGTTGTCACAAACTGTGCAATTATACCGAAATTCACCATGCATCAGTACGCGATCACATGCATCACATTTCCAATTACTCACCTTTTCCGTGGTGACTTGTTTATTCATATCTATCTGAAAGTATTTTGTAACGAAAAACTCTATTAAAATTATGCAAAGTAATTACGCAACTGAGTTCGTTTTTAGACTCATTTTATAGTAAAAAGTAAGTAAAACATGAATTCTTCTCTTGAGTCATACATACATCTCTGAGTCATATACATATGATTCAGAAAATTCCAGCTTTGTTTTTGAATTTCGTAATTACACAAAATATTCTGTTGAAAAATCCACTATTGTTTTCTAGCTTAATGAATGTTCGATTTGTCGTAGAGTCGGAGAACAAATGCGCATAAGTCAAAGCATATAATATAGTGTTTGCAGCCTAAAAACACAGCGTGAGTGAAGAAACTAAATAACTAATCTCTTTTGATCGCTATCTATGGTAAGAGAACGACAAAATTCTTCGTTATTATATTATCTCGTAAAATTTCTCGTTCTCCACGTCCGCGGAAGTTTAATTTGATAAACCGTTTGCGTCATCCGTTTACAACTGACTCACAGTCAATATCCAATCCAAATGTGCCACGTAGAGAAAATAATTTTTCTACATGGATCTGCTTTTCTCTTCACTGCTATTCATAATAACTGTCACTCAATCAAAAATTCTATAAAATTATGAGCATATGTGTGAGTATTTGCGTGTATGCTTATCATATCCATCCCTGCTTAATCTCAGTGTATCGATCTATATTGATACAATTGATAGTGTGAAGATGTGGACGAGAGTGAGAGATTAAAGCATTACTCACAGCGGCACCCACACTCACACCCTCAATAGCTACTTTTTTCGCGTATATGTTCGCTTCTGCTTGTGATCCTACCATATTCAGGCAGATCATAAAAAACTACACGTACTACGTCCACATAGACATTGAAAAATTACAGGTAGTACGCTAATGTAGACCTCGAAAAATTATTGCGTTAATGGAAGAAAGGCAGAAAGTAGGTTGAATAATGGCAAAGTAAGAACTGCAGTGTGGTCAGCTAGTTTTTTCTATATGAAGTAAACCTCATTTCTTTGGCTGACATGTCTGGCTCGCTTCCCATAATTGTAAAATTCTTAGTACATTTTTGATGATGTTTATTTATAATTTTAAAGAAGCTAATAAAATCAATCAAAATACTAATTTTATGTTATTGCTAACCGAAGAAATTCGATTAAAATCAATTAAATTTTTTATCTTCTACAAAATACAAGAACAAGGTCTCTCAATGATTTTTAATAGAATTACTCTTAACAATAAAATTCTATTGATGAAAATTTGTCAGTTAGTCGAATAATTTAAACAAAAGAAAATTTACTAAATTTTATTATTAGAAAAAGTTCTTCACAAAAACGAAATTTCACTTAATTAGATAAAAAAAGCAAAGAACATGTATTAATTCAATATTAATTGATTGTACATTTTAATAATAAAAAAGTAGGAAATTAAGTATTATTCATATTTACTCTTCATGATGAAATTTTAAGCATGCTTTTGAAATAGAAAAAAAAAATGACACAGTAGTTTTGCCAACATTTTGTTGATCTGACGTCACTTCACCTGGTTGTGTTCTATTTGTTATTTTTGTTGATAGCTTGGCAAAATCCAATCACTGTAAGACAGTAAATTGCGTCGTTCTTTATTTTCTTATCAAGTTTTTAGCAAGCATATAAAATCTATTATTTATGTGCGTCGTGCACAAAGACATCAACATTCCGCGAAGAGAAACAGAAGAAGGTATATATAACAGGTAACGTTTTTTTTATTTTACTCTATTAACATCTATATTCATAGTTTATTACTGATGTTTGTAAGCAGTATTTTTTATTATAAACGAGTAAATGAAATAAATTATTTTTCTTTCGAAGCAAGGACATGAAAGTAACAGAATTATAATAATAAATGAATTACTACTTACACATGTGTCTGTTAAATCATTTGGAGAATTTTTAAATCTATTTAGATCCTGTTTAGTATAGAATTAAAACCAATAACAAAAGAATTATTACATATTACTATAATTTTTTCGACGATACCATGGCACATCTACTTGACTCAAACGATACAAAAAAGTATCATCTCTTCTTGTTAGCCTCTAATGTCGATGAATTAAAGAAGAACAATTCAGATTTATTCAATGGTCTACAGGCAATTACTAATTCTCTGAATACTTTTACCGATGCTGATTTGTTTATGAATCACTTTTACGAAAGTAATTATGAAAATACTATTATGATGATCTCAGGTGCATTAGGAAGAGAGACAGTGCCGATCATTCATGATGCCCCTCACCTAAATTTTATCTTTGTCTTCTGTTATAATAAGAGTAATCATGAACAATGGACAAAAGAGTGGCCAAAAGTAAAGGGTGTTTACAATAACGTTAATGAGATGTTTGAAGCAGTAGAACAAATTGTACAACAAAATAAATCTATTCCATCCAGATCAACTATACCACACCCAACCAGTCACCGTCGTCGTCGTGATCGTTCAACGGTGCCAATTCAAACTGAAGTCGACGCCACAATTGATCATCAAACATCTGTAAAACCATTAAGGCAAGGAAAGAAAGCATTCGAAGATCCAATAGTCAATACTGATGTTGATGTATCACAAGAGTATGACAAGAGCAGTTCTCCTTTAGTTAATTCTTCGACACCGAAGATGAAACAAAAGTCAAGTTCACAGCAACCATTACCAACGAACTTAGAACAACTTCAAAACACTCTAATTACAACAGCTGAACACGATGTAAGACAAAGTCTGTTTAATAATATTGGTACACTTGGGTCAACAACACTCAACTTCGATACTATTGATCGATTACAAGATACGCTAGTACAAACAATCGAAAAACGTGCCAATCCAACAAAAGAAAACTCGAATGAACTTAATAATTTATTTGACGATTTAAAAAGAACACTCGTTAATGCAATTATTGAACAGCAACCAATGTTATTACAGGATCTTATTAAACAATCGGTGGCGGATGCTCTTAAAAATCAACACAAGTCAATGTTGAATGTTACTACCACTACTAATGGACAGGCAAATCGTCAGAAGGCTATTACTCTTGCCAACAGTCGTGAGATTAAAATTAGTGCTGATACTAAGAAAACCTGTATCGATACTAATTTTCGTCAACAACGTGACGCAGTTGTCGCTAATAAACGATTTCGTGATCTCATTCAACAATGGTCAGCAATTAGCTCAATGAAGGATCTTACAGATACGATTAAAAGACATGGAACAAATAAATTAGAATATGCATGGTTACTCTTCTGTTGGATCGGTCACTATATTAAATATGCATTGCATTGTAATATTAATGCTGCTGAGTCCGTTTTTCGTACAAGACAAGGAGTCTGCCGAGGTTTTGCTAGTCTCTATCATGAATGTTGCTCATTGTTAGGTATTGACTGTTATGAAATTAGCGGTTATGCTAAAAATAATTTGGTAAAAACAAACGAAGAACTCAACAAATCACCTCACGCATGGAATAGCATTGTATTGGATAATTATACTTATTTAGTCGATCCAACATGGGGTGCAGGTGGTAGAGATAATGAGAATAAACTCGAAGATTTCTATTTTCTTACATCACCTGAAGAATTTATCTACACACACTATTGTTCAGGATATCAATTGCTTGCACCAGAAATTAGCAGAGCAGAATTTCTTAGTTTACCTATTATGCGATCGATTTATTATCAACTTGGTTTGAATTTATTATCGCCCAAACAAGGTTTTAATGAAATAAGTGAAAATTTATTTAAAATTTCTATTCGAACACCAAAACATGTTAATATGTTTGCTACATTGAAAGTAGGTAAAGATGAATATCCACGCAATTTACATACATTTTGTCAACGAGATGAAACTAATCGTGACATATTTAATTGTTATATTGCCCCGCCTGTAGATGGTCTTTATAATATAGATATATTTGCAAATACTAATAATGAACAGACATATCAAGGTGCTATCAATATGCGTTTGCGTGTGTCAAATATAACTAATGCATTCACTTTCCCTATGACATATTTAACTTTCAAAGTACATAATTGTATACTAATTGAACCTCTTCAGGGTGTCGTACATAAAAATGAAGAAATATTGATTCATATGATAATACCTAATGCCAATGTAATCAAAATTCAGAATGGTCATGATCATATTGTTCCAACTAAAGATGAATATAAGAAGGGTCTGTTAAAGAAAAAAATACGTGTTCAAGATGATATTCAAGTTTGTGGACGATGGGATGATAATGCTGATACAATTTCAACTATTTGTATTTTTTATATGATTTAATTTTTTTATTTGACAATAAAATAAACTTTTTTTATATAGAAAACATTTGCATATAATTCATCTAAGTTTATAAAGTTTGTAATAGATCATATGATAGTAACTTATAAGACTGAAATAAGAGCAGTCATCCTATTCCGCAATGTTGAACATTTCAGGAACCAGTTCCGCTCCGGAATCGATTCCGTTCAATTCCGGGAACTCGATCGACACATAATATCCGATGCCGACTCGAAAATTGATCGAGTTCCGTCCAATTCCGGAATTGGTAGGAATTCCGTATAATTCCGGAATCGGTAGGAATTCCGTATAATTCCGGAATCGGTAGGAATTCCATGTAATCCCGTAACTAGAAGTAGTTCACGCAATTCCGGAATTGGTGGGAATCGGTAGAAATTCCCAGGAATTCCGTCCAATTCCACTAAATTCTGTCTTGATGCAATTCCCGGAATTCCGCAACGGAATTGGATCGTATTC